ATCCCCTGTGGGACCCCAGATCTGTTCCCATCCCCTAAGGTGTGGGTGTTCAGGTGCTGGAGGGTGCCAGAGCACGGGGTGAGGCTGCTGCCTGTGCCCCCAGAGAGCCCGGGGCAGGGGGAACCATCCCTGTGGACACCTCCCTGCTCCCTCCCCTCATGATACAGCTCCAGCTCTGCTGGGATCTGCCATGGGATAGGTTTGTGTTCCAAAAACGGTTCCATGCAGGCCTCATCCAGGTACTATGGAAGGTATTGGATCCAGGTGTGCTGGGATGCAGGTGTTAACCACCCCAGCCTGTCCCGTTGTGAGGCACAAACCAGGAGGCTCAGAGTGATTAAGGATTTGTGGTTAGCAGTTCTCAGGGCATTTGTGGTGCCTATTCCAGGGTGAGCTTGTTAGCTTGGTGACAGGAAATGTGACAGGAGGCCACTCTACTAGGCACTGTGGGCACAGGGAGGAGGAGGAGTTGGATGTTGGGATTTGGTGTGCTGAGCAGGGTGGGAGTGCAGGGAAAAGAGTGGGAAGCTTATGTGTGCTCTCTGTAGAGCCACATGTGCTCTGAGGGGAAAAAAAAAAGCCTTGGAAAGCTGTGGCTATCTGTTAAAAACCCCCAGGAATGATCTGCTGCAGTGGCGTGTGTTGGTTGGGAATTGCCTAATTACATTCCAGATTACTGATGGAGTAAGAGCTGAAGCTTTAGGAGTTGTGTAAGGAATGAAAGAGCTGTTGTGAAAGTGTTGGCTCTGCAGTCTAACACCCTGCTCAGCATTCCCAAGGATTTCCCTTGGCTGAGTTGGTCTCTGCCCTTTATTTTGTGACTGTTTTGTCCCCGTCTGATTAAGTTAAAGGTGTGAAACACTTGGGAACTTTGCCAAGAGGTGGAGAGGAGTTGAGGCTGAGGGTACCCAGACATTTGCTGGGAATGTGGGGTTGGGGGTCACAGGGAGCTGGGAATGTGGGATTGGGGGTCACCAGGGAGCTGGGAATGTGGGGTTGGGGGTCACCAGGGAGCTGGGAACGTGAGGTTGGGGGTCACAGGGAGCGGGGAACGTGGGGTTGGGTGATACTCAGGGTGCTGGGAACATGGGGTTGGGGGATACTCAGGTTGCTGGGAACATGGGGTTGGGTGTGGGAACTGGTTCCCTGTGCCCTGAAGTGGGAAGTGGTTCCCTGCAGGAAGAGATGTCGGGAGAGAGCGTGGTGAGCTCGGCGGTGCCGGCGGCCGCGACACGCACCACCTCCTTCAAGGGCAGCAGCCCCAGCTCCAAGTATGTGAAGCTGAACGTGGGGGGAGCTCTGTACTACACCACCATGCAGACCCTCACCAAGCAGGACACCATGCTCAAGGCCATGTTCAGCGGCCGCATGGAAGTGCTGACGGACAGTGAAGGTAAGGAGCTGCTCCTCTTTGCCCTTCCTTGCTGCAGGGAGAGGCACAGGGCTTGGAATAGCAGAGAACAGCTTCTAGTTGTGGGCCTGGGTTGGTGGTTTGAGAGATGGAGCACCTCTGTGTGAGGGAAGGATGGGAGAATTGGGATTGTTCAGCTTTGGAGAAGAGATGCTTCGGGGTCACCTAATTGTGGCCTTCCAGAGCCTGAAGGAGCCAACAGGATGGAGAGAGACTCTTTACAAGGGCCTGGAGTGACAGGACAAGGGGGAATGGCTTCCCACTGCCAGAGGGGAGAGTTAGTTGGGATGTTGGGAAGGAATTCCACCCTGTGAGGTGCTGAGGCACTGGCACAGGTTGCCCAGAGAAGCTGTGGCTGCTCCATCCCAGGCCAGGTTGGATGGGGCTTGGAGCAACCTGGGCTAGTGCAAGGTGTCCCAGCCCATGGTAGGATATTGGACTAAATGATCTTCAAGGTTCCTCCCAGTCCAAACCACTCCATGATTAGACAACTGATAGCAGATGTGGAACAAAAGACATGGATGACTTGAGTAGTTCCCTGAACACCAGAAGGGCAGGAAGAAGAGCTAAGGTTCCTGCCAGGCCCAGGTAGCACCTGGAACGTATTTTCCTTCTGAAATACTGATACTGAATCCCATTGAAAATGGTGGGGATAGTGATGAGGAATCCATGAGTCAGGTCCTTTGTCTTTGCTTGGAACTTCCCTCATTTTGTCTCCTTAGATACAAACTTTGCTCTGAACATTGAGGAGATTTAAGGGCTAAAAGCTGATTTATTTTTTTTTTTTAATGAAGTGATTTCCTGTGAGACTATTGATTGTTGGTTTCCCTAAGAGAACCAGTTGCAAACTACTCAGAAAAGGTGTAGTTTTATATCCATATTCCCATGTTCTGAGTTTAACTGGAAGCTGATGTTTTGCCTGTAACCATGTTGATGGCCTGATTGTCTGTAACAATAACTGCTTCAAAGCTGAGCCTGGAGGTTCCAAACACCTTTTCTGGGACTAGTTAATTAGTGTTTGAGATTTCTATTTGAATTTGCTGAAAGCATTAAAACATACAGAACATGGTGAAGTGGTTTGGAGTGAATTTTGAGTCTGTTTAGAGGTTTATAGAGCTCTTATGCTAAGCTTCCTTGGGATAGGGGGAAGTGGATTTGAAGGAAAAAATGTCCAAACTGCAGCCTAATTAGCTGAATATTCCTGGTTTAGCCAGAAGTCTTTGTATTGGAGCTGGGGAGAACAAAGCTGTGTTGTTCCAGGTGTTATCCCATGCCAGGATAAAGCAGCAATGTGGGTGCTGTGTTTGTGGGCTCCAGATCAAAGGGTTTCTGGGCTGCTTCTCATGGATACAGCCCATGGAGGCTGCATGAAACAGTGGGAAAAACTGGGAATCAACACCCTGTCTGGGAACACTGGAGGGGTGGGAAGGTTGTGAACTCTCTGCCCTTGTTGCTAAACCTCAGGCAACTCCACCAGGATCCTCTTGTCCCTTCCTAAATCTGCTCTGTGCTTCACTGAATGTGATCATTCCAGACTTCCCAAGGCTGGAAATGGATCGGAAATTCCACATTGACTTTGGAAGCTCAGCCTGGCCTGTTCCCAGGGCTCAGAGGTACTTTTTGCACCCCAAATCTGAGGATAACGGGAGTTTCTTCTGCTAAAATATCATGTCTGAGACATCAAATCCCAAGTTTGTTTTGCTGTGACTCCTCCAGTGTCTGTGTGGGATTGTTCCATGGAGCCAGTTTGTGTTTTAATAGGAATTTGATACTTCCTGTATGTTGTAACCCAGACACTCCCAGTGCAGCAGCTCTTGCTTTATCTGCCCTGGCCTGGAAACTGGGACAATAGCATTAGGGCTGCTAAAGGAAACTCTTTCCATATGAAATTCTTCCAAATCCTGCAAATTGGTCACACCCAAACCCTGGCACCAAAATGTTTCTTGGGAAAAGGAACCAGACTTGGAAGGAGTGGAGTTTAACCAGTTTGGAATGTGGCACACAGGGTCCTGCTCTGTGTCTGGACACATTCTTCTGGCCCCAGCTCCTTCTCCAGGCTGAACAATTCCAACCTGCTGCTCCTCTGTAGGAGGAAAGTCTGGAATTCTCTGGCTGTGGGAGGCAGATGATTATTTTCAGCTTAGGAATTGTTGATGAACTGAGGCAAATCAGCATATTTGGAACATTTTGTTTGGGTGGTAATGAGCAGAGAGAAGGATATGAGTTTTCCAGGTGCATCCATGTGTTTCCAATTCCCTTGCTGCAGTGGGATTTTCCCCTCACTCCCTGCTGCTGTACCCAGTGGATGGAGATGCTGTTTTCATCCAGCTGCTGCTCAGAGAGTGGAGGTCAGGCAGTGTCCAGTGTCAGGCTCCTGTTTCACCCCTGAGGGCTCACTTGGAAAATGTTGTCTGGATTAGTTGGAGTGTTTGGATCCTGTCCATGAGGCTTTTGATAAAACAAAACATTAATTTCCTCAGGGTCCAATGTGTGTGTGCCAAGTACATGTGGACAGCAGCTGAGGGGGGAGCTGCCCCTCTGCCCTGCTCAGGAGAGACTCACCTGCAGTGCTGCTCCAGCTCTGGGGTCCAGCACAGGAACCATGGACTCGTTGGAATGAGTCCAGAGGAGGCACCAAGGTGATCAGAGGGATGGAGCATCTCTGCTGTGAGGAAAGGCTGAGAGAATTGGAGTTGTTCAGGCTGGAGAAGAGCAGGTTTCAGGGTGACCTAATTGTGGCCTTCCAGAGCCTGAAGGGGCTGACAAGAGAGATGGAGAGAGACTATGGACAAAGGCCTGGAGGGACAGGGCAAGGGGGAATGTCTTCCCACTGACACAGAGGAGGTTTAGATTGGATATTGGGAAGGAATTCCTCCCTGTGAGGTGCTGAGGCATTGGCACAGGTTGGCCAGAGAAGCTGTGGCTGCTCCATCCCTGGGAGTGTTCCAGGCCAGGCTGGATGGGACTTGGAGCAACCTGGATTAGTTGAAGATGTCACTGCCCATGGGAGGGGGTTGAACTGGATGGGCTTTATGGTCCATTCCAACCCAAACCATTCCATAATCCATCCATCCAGCTCCTGGATTATGTATCCCTACCTGAGTGGATCTCAGGACACTTTTGTAACACTGCAGTTACAAAACAAGTGTAGAATGGCAGAGCTGCCACCCACCCGTGGGCTCTGCCCTGGCTGAGTGCAGCAGGGGCAGGTCCCTGGGAAGTCTCCTCCTTTGGGCTCTTTGGGTGAAACTGAAGGTGTTTGAAACTGTTTCTGTGGTCACTTGCATTTTGCAACACTGCTCAGAAGATTTTCTCGTCCTTCCTCCCTCCACCACCAAATGAGCAATTCTGCTTTGGTTTCACCATCTGTAAACATGAGGGGTTTTTTACAGGATAGCAGAGCAGTTTGGGGATGGTAATTCTGCTCTCAGCTTGGTGTGCTCCAGTGAACTTTGACAGCAGCTGCTTTTGTGGAATATGGATGTCCTTCTGTACTGCCATCCCTGGTGTTTCCTCTGGGACAGAGAATCCCAGAATGGTTTGGGTTGGAAGGACCTTAAAGACCACCCAGTTCCACCCCTTGCCACGGGCAGGGACACCTCCCACTCCACATCCCACTAAAATGGGATTCCTTGCTTTTCACACCTCTGTGTTGCCAAATGAGCTCTTTTCTGCTCTGCTTGGATGAGTGTAATGTGTCCATTAGCCTGGCTCAGTGCTCTGTGGTTCCTGTCTCCAGTCCTGCTTCCATCTTCCTGCTTTGTTGTTGGAACATCACACTTGGAGCACACACTACAGCAGGAACGAGGGAGATGGACAGCCTGGAGGACACTGCTGCAGTGTGTCTCAGTCTCCCTCAGCACAGCATGGAAGGGCTGTTCCCTTTCCAAACTGCACCAAATGTTCAGACTGTAGTAGTAATTCCATTCATGCAGAACACACAGAGGCTGCTTTAACCTACTTTCCTTATTTGTCCAAAATATGACTCCTTCCCCACAAGCCTTTCCTCACTGCATTCCTGAGCTGCAGCCTCTGAGTGGCCATCTGTTCACTCAGGGGCACTCCAGCCTCAGCCTGATGCTCCTCAGGGTCCAGCCCAATTCCAGCAGCACGGGGTGAAGTGGATCCTGCAACCACAGCTCACTGGGGAGTTTGATTGGAGCTCTTTTCTTCCCTGGAGCAGAGAAGGCTCTAGGGAGACCTTAGAGCCCCTTCCAGTCCTGAAAGGGGCTCCAGGGGAGCTGGAGAGGGACTTGGGACAAGGGCCTGGAGGGACAGGATGGTGGGGAATGGCTGCAAAAGGACAGGGTTGGATGGGATATTGGGAAGGCTGAGGTACTGGCACAGGTTGCCCAGAGCAGCTGTGACTGTTCCATCCCTGGGAGTGTTCCAGGCCAGGTTGGACAGGGCTTGGAGCAGCCTGAGCTGGTGGAAGGTGTCCCTGCCATGGCAGGGAATGGAACTGGATGGTCCTTAAGGTCCCTCCCCACCCAAACCATTCCATGATTTTCTTTCCCCCACGGCCCACACGCAGAAGTGCTGACAAGCTCCAGCTCCTCACCTTACCCTCCCCTCCCATGTGCTGTTACCTCGTGCCTTTCATCAATTAAAGACCTGCTCAAGGCCTTGTGCCATGTTTTTCTCTCTTCCCCCTCCTCACCCTGGCTTTCCTGTGTGCCAGGCTGGATCCTGATCGACCGCTGTGGGAAGCACTTTGGGACCATCCTGAACTACCTGCGCGATGGGGCTGTGCCGCTGCCCGAGAGCCGCAGGGAGATCGAGGAGCTACTGGCTGAGGCCAAGTACTACCTCGTGCAGGGGCTGGTGGACGAGTGCCAGGCAGCCTTGCAGGTTGGTCTGGGGGCTCAGGAGGAGGCAGGGCACTCAGGGGGCTGCTGAGGGTGGGCAGCAGTGTCTGGGCAGAGCAGGATTCTCTCCTGGTCTCCACTTGGTTCATTTGGAGGCTTGGATGAAATCTGAAGGGTTCATGTCATGGATATACTGGAGTTTGATCACATCCAGGAAAAGCAGCTTCTTCCCAGAGCTGCTGGGAGTTGTGTTGTGTTCCTTGTTTTCCTCTGAGATTCCCATCTTGGGTTTGCTGCCACTGTCTGTGGTGTCCTGTGAGTGAAGCCACACTCCAGATCCTGCCATTTAACTGGGCACGTGGCCTTCAGTCCCTGTGTCTGCAGAGTGGTACAGGGCAGCAATGAACATCTCAGGTGGTCCCAGGGTAATGCTGCCTGGCTCTGAGCACGGACCAGAAACCACCACTGGGACAGTTGGGACACTGAACCCCTTGGCCCAGATCATCCAGGGCCTTCCCAGGACTTACGGCTGTGCCCTGGGAATGTGAGCATTGAGCTGCTGTTTGGTTCTTGTTTCAACAGAACAAAGATGCCTATGAGCCATTCTGCAAGGTGCCTGTTGTCACCTCCTCCAAAGAGGAGCAAAAGCTGATAGCCACTTCCAATAAGGTGAGAGAGGCCGTGGGAGAGCTGTGAGAGTTCAGCCTGGGGAGGAGAAGGCTCTGGGGAGACCTCAAAGCCCCTTCCAGGGCCTTAAGGAGCTCCAAGATTGCTGGAGAGGGACTTGGGATAAGGGCATGGAGGGACGGAGCAAGTGGGAATGGCTTCCCACTTCCAGAGGGCAGGGATAGATGGGATATTGGGAAGGAATTCTGCCCTGGGAGGGTAGATCTCCCACTGAGATCTGGTCATTGCAGCTTCTCTGTGGGGCGTTGTGCTGAGCTGAGGTTCAGCTCTTGCTGTGCTTCCTGTGGTGACCTGTGGTTTCTTTTTACAGCCAGCAGTGAAGCTGCTGTACAACAGAAGCAACAACAAATACTCCTACACCAGGTAAATGACTTCAGCTGGACTTGTTGGAAGTTTTTCCTAGGCTAATATCCATGCTAAGTGTTTCTCTTTCCTTCCCCCAGCCCCACTGACAGATTGCTGTTGGCATGCACTCAGTTTTCTCCCAGTTAATTTCCAACCTGAGTCAGAAGGGAGCCTGCTGCCACCAATGGAGGGCTGAGCCTGTGCTGTTTCTGTGCCAGAGGAGTTCCTCTAATCCCCAGGTGCAGCTGGCAGAGATTCCTGGCCTAGTGCTGTCTGCACTCCCAGGGGCTGAGCACAGGAAGCTTTCCATGGGGCACTGCCTGGGTAGGGACACCAACCCCATGATCAGTCCAGGCTGGGGATGAGCAGATGGAAAGTGGACATGGGATGCTGTGGGTGAGAGACTGAATATGCCCCTGTGAGTGCTGTGCTCACCCCACAGTGTGGGCAGCAGGTGAGAGGGAATTGTGCCCCTAAGCCCTGCTCAGGTGAGACCCACCTGCAGTGCTGCTCCAGCTCTGGGTTCTCCAGTGCAGGAAGGACATGGACATGAGTCCAGAGAAGGCACCAAGATGATCAGAGGGATTGTTAACCTCTGCTATGGGGAGAGGCTGAGAGAATTGAGGGTGTTCAGTCTGGAGAAGAGAAGGCTCTGGGGTGACATAATTGTGGCTTTCCAGTACCTGAAGGAGCCTACAAGGAAGATGGAGAGAGACTATTTCCAAGGGTGTGGAGTGATAGGACAAGGAGGAATGGCTTCCCACTGCCAGAGGGCAGGGCTAGATGGATATTGGGAAGGAATTCCTCCCTGTGAGGTGCTGAGGCACTGGCACAGGTTGGCCAGAGAAGCTGTGGCTGCTCCATCCCTGGGAGTGTTCCAGGCCAGGTTGGATGGGGCTTGGAGCAACCTGGATTAATGGAAGGTGTCCCTGCCCATGTCAGGGGGTGGAACTAGAAGATGTTTGAAGTCCTTTCAACCCAAACCAGTGTGTGACTGTGACACAGGGAGTGAGAGCACCGTGTGTGTGCTGGGCTGGAAATGCTCCCTGCTCACTCCTCTGTGTGTGCTGAGTGATCTCCTCCATCCCACAGCAACTCTGATGACAACATGCTGAAGAACATCGAGCTGTTTGACAAGCTGTCTCTGAGGTTCAACGGGCGAGTGCTGTTCATCAAGGACGTGATTGGGGATGAGATCTGCTGCTGGTCCTTCTACGGGCAGGGCCGCAAGATCGCCGAGGTGTGCTGCACCTCCATCGTCTACGCCACCGAGAAGAAACAGACCAAGGTACCAGGGGAGCATGGGGTGCTACAGCCTGGCCCCCTGCCAGCTGCCCCGGGCTGAGCTCTCAGCTTCTCTGGGGGATAATCAGTGCCACTGGGGGCAATGCACGGAGCTCATCCTGGGGTTAGGTGGGAACTGCCTGGCTGTGGGACTTGTGATATTCCATAGGGTGTGTTCAGTCTAGCTCTGTATCTTTGGGCTAAACTTGTGTGTTTCACCAGATTTGGGGTTGGTCATCTGGGGGTTGGAACTGTATCTGGGCTTGGAACCTAGATCTTGAGGTTGGATCTAAATGATATGGGGATTGGAACTAGAGATAATCTGAGGGCTGGAACTAGATATCTGGGGGGTTGGATCTAGATGATCTTTAAGGTCCTTTCCAACCCAAACCATTCCATGGTTCCACGTCCCTGTGTAAAGATGAATCCAGGTGAGCAGTGCCACATATTCCCTGTGCTACGTTTCCCTTTCCCAGGAGAGACCTGCCTGGTTGTGGTAAAAACCCAACTGGTTGCCGCAATGGAGAGAC